CCGTGCGGGTACTCCACCAGGTCCCGCGTACCTGGAGCCGTTCCCACGAAGAAGTACCACGCGGCCCCGCCACCCGCCGCCGCCACCCCTGGAGCTGGCGGGCCGCGTGGGCCGCGGGTGGTTGCATTTGCTGCTCGCGCGCTTCACAGGCTTCACAGGTGAGCGCGGCGCGTAAGACTACGTCAGACTACGTCAGACCTCCCAGGCAGTGCCAGCAGCTTTGCCAGCCGGCTGAGCGGCGCTCCGTCTCTCTCGCGCCCACGGGGCGTCCCCTGGCGGTGCGAGGGAGACAGAGCGACCAAACGGCGTGGGGTGACACGTCGCTCCAATTAAGGGGGAATTAAGTTTTCCGACCGCCTGAACGCATCACTCCGCCTCACTCAGTGCGCCGTCAGTGCGCGGCGGCAGCGGCGCACGTGCGGGTCGCGGAGCGGGGCGTGCAGGGCGTGCAGCAGGAGCGGCGGCACCATGGCGGCACTGGCAGCAGCAGGGCGACGGCGCCCGCAGAACGCCGGGTAGGCCACCACGCAGGACAGGAGCGCGCCGCGGCCCTGCCTGCCGCCCGGGCGGAGTGCCGCCTGTCTCCGTCGCACAGCTGAGCCATCCCGTGGGCGTGAGAGAGAGACCGAGACAGAGACACAAAACGATCCTTTAGCGCCCCTTTTCCTCGACGGCGAGGGGTAAGGGGGCAGGTTCTTACTACTCGCCCCGGTTGACGAGTCTTCCGTGTCGCGCGCGCGCGCGCGTGTGTGTGTGTGTGTGTGTGTGTGTGTGTGTGCACGCTGTTGTGATCGCCTTACGCGACATGGCGCGGTGCACACGCCGGGACCACCCAGCCGGCGCGGCACGGCACGGCACGGCGCACGGTTCATCCCCAATTATCTAGACCGTGGCACGGACTACGGACGGGGACGCGGCGTGACGGGATTTATCTGGTGTGCCATGCCGCCCGTGGCGCGAGAGGAAAGGGGTGCTCTGTCTCTCTCGCACTCATGGGGCGCTCCGTATGGGTGCGAGAGAGACAGAGCGACGAAGCACTCGGCTGCACTGCGATGTAGTATGCCGTCTCGCCGCTACGCCGGCGCAGTTTGGTTTCCAACGACTAAATTCTCAGTTTGGACAAGTTCGTTCTGACTCGCATGCTTCGAAGAGGCCAGCCCGACGGCCAGCATAGACTCCCGGGCGCCTTCGGTGATGTGCACTCGGAGTCCATCTCCGCCTCCAAGGCCATCCGCAGGACCTACTACTGGGTGCGCCGTAGAGAAAAGCTTCCCACCGCAGCCTCTCCACCCCCGAAGGGTTGCGCGGGCAATCGGAGCATTGCCGCGATTTGCGCCGTTCACGCCGGAACATTGGCTCTCTCTCGCCGAGTCTCTCGCTCTGATCCGCGATCCGCGCGTGTAAAAAGGGTTCCGCCTGTTTTATGGCGCGGGCCGCGCGCACGGACACCGTATCGGACGTCTTTATCTGCGACGGCAGTGCGTCTGTCTGTCTGTCTCTCTCGCACTCACGGCGCGTCCCGCACAGGTGCGAGAGAGACAGACGCTCTGCTCGGAATGGAGCTGCGGCGTGCCCCGGCCGCACCGCACCCAGTTGGTAAATAGCACATGGCCTCCGCACAGTGGTCCAGAAGACCAGCGTAGGCGGAGATAACTCCAGGCGCGTTTCGGTCTCTTATCTTCTTCCAACGGGACTCCGAATCAAACGCATGAGAGCAACGATAGATTCTTCGACTAAAGGGCAATCCGATGTGCCTGAATTCAGGAACTATTTAAGGACTGCCGAACTCCAGTGAAGTACCAAAAGTTCTGTCCGCTTAAAAGGTCTTCTGGCCCAGAGTGCCGGGGCTCAAAGACAGGCGAGAGTCTGAACGGCGTCCGCTGCGCTGTCTCTCTCGCACTCGTGCGGCGTTCGGTACGGGTGCAAGTGAGTGAAGGGCCAAACGTCGTTGTTCGGAATGGCCCTGCTGCCGCACCTTACCGCCTGCCGAGCGGACTCGGGGTAGCGCTCGGTGTTGTAGCCTCGTATGCAAATCCAGGCTGCTTAAACTAAACCACCCCCGCCCTCGGGCTTCGGGCCGCCGCTAGTCCGCCGCTCGGCTACTGTCGCTTGCTCTTTTCGCCCCCGGCCCGGCCCGGCCCGCCGGATTCAAATTGTTTTGTCGCGTTGTCGTTTGCGTTTTAATCCCGGGAAATGGAGCTGTCCGCGCGCCGCCCGCGCCACCCCTTCTAAGCTGCATTGATTCATTCCCCGGCCACGTCCTCCTGCTGCCTCGTCGCTCTGTCTCTCTCGCACCCCCATGAGACGCGCGAGCGAGACACAGCGACTCGGAGGCAGCCCACTGCAAACCGATTCCGTCTCTATCGCACTCGTGGGGCGTCCCGCATGGGTGCGAGAGAGACGGAGGGACGTGATCGCGGTGCCCGCGCCATCGGCCCCCGCGAGCCGCCGCGGCTTCCTCGACGGCCTCCTTCTCGTCCTGCTGGAGGCAGAGGCGCACAAAGGTGAAACTCGAGTGGCGCGGATGGCCGTTGTGTCATCGACACTGCTACTGTTTGGAGGGGGTCCTCGCGGGCACGGCGCGGCGCGGCGCGGCACGGAGGAGGTGAAGACACCCGGCGGCGAGCCCCGCCCCAGCCAGCCCTCCTTTCAGCGCAACGCGTCACAAAACACACAAACAACGAGCCAGGTGGGGACACGGAGACACGGCAATGGAATGGAGGAGCGGCGCAGTGCGACGCGATGCGCTTCATGATGGGACGCCTTATCCTTCATCCTCCTGTTATTGACGCTGAATGAATTAAGTAGTGACATTATGAGAATCACATTCAATGGCTGCGCGCGCGCGAGTGTGTACGTGTGTGTGTGTGAGGGTCTGTTTCAGAAAACGGATCACGTGTAGCCCCCTCGCCTCGCCGCCGGCCTTTTCTCTAGTAAAGTAGTGTGCACCGGCAGATGGAAGTGAGAGATCCAGATCGTTACACACACTCGCACACACACAGAGGGGTCTAGCTAAAGTGGATGAAAATGGATGCATAAATGATGGCAAGTTTATGCTATCGGGATCGGGAAGAGAAAGGCACCTTACCTGAATCGTTTCCGCTCTGCAGACTGATTCGGGCAGTCGTTTTCGTCGCTCTGTCTCCCTCGCACTCACGAGGCGTCCCGCGAGTGCGAGAGAGACGGAATCGGGCTGCAGGCCGTCGTAGTTGCGCGTTATTGCAGAAGCGCGGCCGCCGCCCCCACCGTAAGTACCGCCCCGCCGTCGATATTTGCAGTGCAGATTAGCCCCTTTCTTTCACCCTTTGCCTGAATATTGCCGCGGCTGATGGATCGCCCAAATCCCCGCCACCCTTTCCGACCTCGTTCTTGTTTTTATTCCCGCGACCCCTCATTATCGACACTTTCCCGTGTTTTGCACGCGGTGCGGCGCCCTCCTCCCAGTCCTCGCTCTCTGTCGCACCGAGTAGGGCACGTCCCGCGAGTGCGAGAGAGACGGGGCGACGCGCGGAATCAGTCAGAGGCAATCATAGGTTCCCAGTCAGTCCCCACTCGCGATGACGCGGCCAGAACCCGAACGCGCGCCGCCAACAAAAAGCCCGATCGTCGTGTCGATAACCGTATAAAGAGCTCCGTGAGTGAGAGAACAGCAAGCGCAGCAAGCGCGGACACTCCCACCGGTCAAGCCCGGTTAACTCCGGCATCGAAAAAACCAAAACGGGCGACTTTCGAAGGCATAAAAACCTGTGATTGATTGGCGCAACGCGCGTGCGATGGAGTCATCGAGTGACCAATCCATCACAAAGGTGACAAGACCTTTGTTCTGCCTCGCTAGCTACGCCTGCTACGCCACTAGTCATCCGACGCGGTCGCATCGGTCACGTGGTCACGTGTGGCCGCGGGTCCGTTCCACTACGTCCCAGCAGCGCAAGTTGGCGGAGCGGGTTGAGGGTTGAGGGTTGCCAAGGCGCGCCCTCTGGAGTGACTGCAGGCTGGTTCCGAGAGAGCTCGTCGTCGCCCTGTCTCGCGCGAGTGAGACAGAGCGACGAAAGCGACTCTCGGAATCAGTCCGCTGCGGGCGCGACGCGACGCACCGCCGCGGAGGAGAGCCCATCTCGTTTCGTCTTCGCTCAAGGTAGATTTTAACTGCCGCTTCGGAAACCGCAGACAGTGCAGCCAACGACTTGAGACGGGCGGCGCGCCGCGGCGGTGCATGAGACGAAACTCGACAGGACAGGAGTAGTTGTCATGGTGACACGTCGCACCAGCGGAATCTTCGCCCCTCTCTTTCCTTCTTGGTAGGTAAGGTAGGCAGTGCATTCGGCTGGGTCGTGGCGCCGGTCGGTGAAGAGCGCAAGAGATACTCCGTGCGTCCCGCGCTGCGGCGATACCCTCCGTCTCACTGGAGGCATGGGGTAGAGCCACGAGCCCAGAGCCGACTCCGGCCGCAGGACGCCCGGGAGGTAGGCAGCCCATTAGACCCTAAGGGAATTATCGTGAAATTAAGGCGCACATGCAGAGATAAATACTTCTGACGGAATAAAAGCTTTAAAAAGACTGTATATTAGAACTTGCTCTGAAAGAGATTACAGTGCTCAAGAAGTTTGCCACCTTTTGTCAGGAGACAGTCTGTTCAGTGCTAGTGATAGATAATTTGTGACAATAAATTTTTTCAAACCAGTAATAAAACCATAAACATTTATCTTAAAACCGACAGCATTTCTGGCAGATTTTTGTTTATAGTTCGTTTGCAGTCCAGAGGCCGTAGCGTGGCTCCCGAGCCCCGATGCAAATCACGCATAGCTATTTCCAATGGGCTTAAACTTGTTTCGACTACCACATGCCAAAGGTGCGGTGACAAGACAAGACAACAAAGAAAACCCAAAACACTAGCACCACCTGCAGTGTCAGAGCGGGAAACTTAAACTTTCAAAGCAACAACAAAAACAAAACAAAAACATCGAGATTTGACGTGTATCGATAGTATCGAAATCGAAGCCGGAGTGTTTTGTTTTCTTTGCGCCTAGTTCTAGTTGTGTTTTGGAAATTAGCGCAACATTTCTTGACTCTTTACCTGTCTGCGATCGCCGCGTGAAGGAAAATGCGTGTCAGCTGCACCGTATATTGATCCCTCTTCCCCGGTGCGGGCAGAGGGAGCTGCCGCCCTGTAATTCTCGCCGGTGACAGATGTTTACCGTGCTTTAAGCCTAAGCATCTAACCAAAGAGGAGCCTTGCAGGGGAGGCTTTGCAGGCGTCCGGTCGCCAAGAAATCGGATTGATACTCGTGAAATGTGATGTCCATGGCTCGCCCCGGCCGTCAACGTGAAGCCAGCAGTGCTGCCAGCACCATGACGTCCGCCGAGTACGATGTGGATTCCTCCGGGGGCCTGATGACCGTAAGTTTCTGGTTATTCAAGTCGCCATGATTGTGGTAAAATGGCGACCGCCGAGGCTCCGAAAACGCCGTTTTGCTGTAGTTCTTTCCCTTTTCACCAATTCTCTGTTTTTGTTTGATTCTTGTGTAACATTACCTTCAATCTTAATTTTTGCACAGAAAATTCAAGCCCTGATAGCACCTCCAGAGAATGATGAGGCGTCCAAATCCAACAAGAAGAAAGAGGGCTTAGACTTGCATCCTTATTACAAGAGGCCTGGGAAAGGTCACAATCGAGACTGCTGTGATGCTTGCAGTGAGGGTGGAAATCTAATTTGCTGTGACAAGTGCCCTGCTTCTTTTCATCTTGGCTGTCAGTGAGTATGATTGTGTTGCTGTTGACGGTGCAACGGTTGTGGTTGTTTGAAACAATACCAAGAACTGCAGACGAGACGTAAAGGGCTAACGCTCTGCTCCTCCCATCTTAAAACTTCTGCAGAATGCAGAAGCTTGTTCTCTCTTGAGTTCCTTGTTTGATGCTGACAATTACTTTCCTTTCAGTGATCCCCCACTTCAAGATGATGACATACCGTTGGGCCAGTGGCTGTGCCACAAGTGCCGAATGTCTGCCGGCCTACCTGCCTTGAAGGAGGTGTGTGTTGGTGCTGTCTCTGATGATGTGACCAATAAAACTGTCCACAAAATACAATTTATATTGTTTTCAGATCCTCAAAAAGGCTGCTAATCCCTCTGAAACTTCCGATGGGCCCACTAAAGAAGAACCAGCGGATACCCCTTCTAGAGGTATGGAATAATTTTGTCATGTCAGTCATGAGACCCCGGATCAGATTCTGTTTGTTAAATGAGTTTGATTTTCAACAGGTCGATCTCGCACATCTAGCACTGCCTCTATGGAATCCAACAAATCTCGGGGGCGAGGTAGAGCAGCAGCTGCTGCCGCTGCAGCGCAGCCTACGGGGCCCATTACAACTACATCAGTTGCTACTGGTCCTGATGGTCAGAGTGCTCTTGACACACTCATAGCAGCTGCTTCCTCCATGAATCCAATACAATTTGATTTACCTCGTGAGATGGTTCTACCAATCAATTTCCCAGGCACTGATAGAGGTCTACAAATCATTCCATACTTTAAAATACCTAGTTTAATTTTCTTTATATTGTGAAAGTCTTTCTACAATTTTCTGGTTTTTTTCCCCCACAGCTCCCACTAGAGGAAAAAGAGCCTCTGCCTCCAAGAGGAGTAGAACACATGAACTGGACAATGGTTTAGTACCTTTGCCTGCTAAAACTTGTTTTGAATGTCGCAAGTGAGTTTCTTTTGAGTCTCCCCCAAAAGAAATAAAAAAGCAGCTATGATATTATTATCTGAGCTTAAATTAATTCAAATCTAAATTGATTGTCTTACAGAAGTTGCAAAAGAGCCCCACTGCTAGCCTGTGATTACTGCCCACTTCTCTTCCATCTTGACTGCTTGGATCCTCCGCTAACATCACTTCCCTGTGGCCGGTGGATGTGTCCTAATCACGTGGAGCAAGCAATTGTAGGTATCAATACTGTTGCCAGAGTATTAAATATTCAAACAATGAATGTTGATAAGTGACTTCCGTTTTTTGTTCGTGGTACATCTACTGATGTTTGATTCTATTTCTATATCCCACAGGATGAAAAGCTCTTGACCTCCCTTAGTGTCACTCAACGAGTGGCCTTATGGGATAAATACACTGGTCCTATTGATCAAGATACAATCAAAACAGAATTTCTTCAAAAAACCAGACGCCAAAATCCACCATTCCGGTTCAAGGTGAAGCTTGCTCCTCGAAACAGAGCCAAAGTACCCAATTCAGTGAAAGAAATGTACAAAAACCGACCACCTCTTGTCCCTAGCTTACGGGATGTTTTAAGAGACAGTGAGGTAAATGGTAGTTGGGCTGATATCAAGGCTGTTGCTCCTGAGTCTAAGGTTCAAGATGCAGGGATAGATGGTCCAACAGAAACAGAACAGGAGGAAGTAAGTCCAATGCTCTCATACCTTACATGTCCTCAAAAAAGTTTTTTACTTTTTTAATAACAATTTTTAATTTATTTTAGTGGCTTAGCGGTATAGTAGCCCTACAAACAAGCATAGCATGTCATCTTAGTACAAAGCGAAGGAAAATGTCACAGTCAAGTGACTTCAGAAATCAAGATGCTGAGACACTGTCAGGAAGGTCAGATGAAAGTGATGGAATTCATATCAAGAAAGAAACAATTGATACTGATCTGGAGTTCAAAGATCTAAAAGGAAATACTATAAGTAATGGATTATCTGATCACTCTGATCAGATTACTTTAGAAAAGGAAGATGTAGAAAGCTCCAAGACCCACAATATAACTGGATTGAATGGTAGCTCTACTTTGGCTAAAGTAGTTACTCATGCGTCTAAAATCCAGAATGGTGATACAGACACAATTATGGAGATTGATGATGAAAGTTCAGAAGCATCTGATAAGATGTAAGGTTTTGTCATTGTCTATTGTAATGTTTCCCCTGGAAAGTTGGAATTATAACAACAACTCTAATTACCATGTTACAGCTTAGAGAAGTCCACATCACTGACTTCTGGAAAGGAACAGGACAAGAAAAAAATAAAGAAGTTGCTTGGTGATAAAGTACTTCTTGACGGACTAACTAATCTTTTGGAGGATTCATTAGACTGTGAGCCAGGTAAATTACCTCAATACCTCATTTAAAATACAAATAAAAACAAAAATGTGACAGTGAACATAAAGCAAACAATTGATTTAAATTTAACAAAATCTTTTCCTTTTGCAGTTTCTTCTGTTGACAAGTTGGATGAACGTTTAATTCGCCTGTTAGCGCTGCAGCGTCTCCAGCAGCTGTCAGCCAACAGCTCTTTGTCCGACTGCCTTGCTTTACCGACAAAAACACCGTCTTTGCTGGTGCAACGGCAACCCACCTTCTGGCCAGCCCCAGAAGCTGGGTTAAAACCAAGAGCTTTGCTAACTCCACTAAACAGCTGCCAGCCTCCCATGCCTATCTATTACCGAGTTATGGAAGTAGGGACTGGAGGGGACATGGACATTTGCCTCACCTATTATGGCCACTGCAATTACGTCACAGCAAAACATGCTGTTATTATCTGTGATGAGGTAAGCTTTAATGTTCCCTATTGGGAAGTGTGAAACACAGAGTATATAATAGTGTCTGTAAAAGATTATCTTTATTGTAGGTAAACAGGCACTATGAGCTCATGAATTACAGTGAGCATGGGACCACGGTTGACAATGTGCTGTACTCCTGCGATTTCTCTGAGAAGGTGCCTGTGAAAGATCAGCCCATGAGTCCGCCCCTGAATCCCCCACATCATGGCAGACGAAGTGGGGGTAGTAGCAGCAGTGCTAACACAGGCACGACCAATGCTGCTGAACCTGCAGAAACTGAAGTAGAAGTTCCCCCTCTAATTCAAAAAATAAGAGCTGTTGTTGATAAGAGGAGAGGAGTTGTGAGAGAAGAAGACAATGCCCCAGAACCTTGCAAAATGCCCTCTGACATTGGAAAGGTAACTGTTGCAGGGATTGCTAACAAAATTATCCTCATAAAAAATTTTAACATCTAAATGTTATACATGTAGTTGAAGTCCTAAGATTATTTCTTTGTTACTCCTTCAGGTTGACATGAAGTGCAGTTGTCGTTCCAGCAGTTCAAGTCTAATCGGCGGCAGTGGTGCCGGGTGGGAAGGCACCGCCCTTCTCAATCATGGGTCTTTCATCAAGTTTGGTTGCATTCAGTTTACATTTAGTGTTTTGAACTTTGTTTCACCACCTCAAAGAGAACAATCTGCTCAAGAAAGTTCAAGTGTAACTGTAACTAGTGGAAAAGGACCTATTCCTCATAGAATTCTTAAGAGAGAAAGAGACAGCACAAGTAGTTCAACTCTAACAGTGTCGCCTTCACCTCCACCTGACAGAGCTGCTCAGCCAAACAAGAGTGTACAGAAGAGTTCAAAGAAAAGAGAAGTGGAAAATGATGACGACGATGATGATGACGATGACGACGATGAAGAAGAAGATGAAGACGAGGATGAAGAAGAAGGCGAGAAGGAAGAACTGAATGATGATTCCGAGGTGGAAGAGAACGAAGATGATGAAAATATGGAAGAAAGTAACGTTGTTTGTGAGGATGTAGCTATGGAGGAATCTCTTGTAGAAACTAAAGAAAAAGCTAATAATTGTTTACCTGATTCTAGCTCTGTTAATAGGGGAAGTCCCTGTGCTCTCAATGAAACTGATTCTGTGTGAGAATATTTTCTCCTCTCTGTTTAAGGAAACTTGGATGTCTGTAATTCTGATAATGCGCATAAACTAGTATTTATTGCACTGTTTTAATGATTTGGTCAAGCTGAATGTGCCTATACCCCTTGTTCACTGCCAAGCCACTTGTTCTGTTACATTTTCAGAACAACGATAATTCTTGGTTTGTCTCTGGTTTTATATTAAAATGTAAAATGTGATATATTGGTTATTTATATGCTACATTGTTTGGATAGTTGACCTGTACGATACCGAACTTGAAAGTTCTGAAATTACCATTCCGTTCTATGGGCTGGGCCCAACATTTATTGATGCCAACTTATTCTAGTGCTTAATCTGTTGTACATCAAGTCATGTAAGGGTGTCAGCAGTCAGCGATGTCACTTTTAAACTGGACTGGGTCTCATAGCTCTGTCAATTAATTAAAACCTTGCTGACTTCATCATGAACTCGCATTTACCTTGCCATGGCCATGGTCCTATCCACTTTTATTCCAATCTGAAGCTCATCATCTCTTTTTCATGTTAATCATATTTCATGCTAGTACTGATATTTTGACCTTGTTACAACTTTGGTATCGTTGATTTTCATTTAATTATTAGTTTGGAACAGTGTTTTTGTGAATCAGGCTGGCCCCTTGACAAGTGTGCAAATTGGACAGAAGATATATTTTTTTTGTGTAAAATTTATTTATGTACATTTTATTTTACAAGATTTCCATTATAGTATGAATATGCATGCATGTGTGTTTGTAAATGTAAGTAAAATTATTTATTTAATTAAATAATGTGTCTTTGTAAAATTTCACAAAGTTTTTGTGAATGGTGACTGTATTAAGTAATCTTGATGTTTCTGAGGCAAACTTTAATGGTAACTTTTCAACCCATGAGATGGCACATGTATGAGCATGTCTGTAGGAAAGTGGTGTAGCCATGCTTTCAAATAATGGTCCTGGAACCATGCCATTGATTCTTCTAAACACTGGTGTGCTCCATACCCTTTTTTAAGAAAAACCATTGTACCAGTTTTTAAAGCAATTAACTGCCATTGTTCTGATTTCATTGTTTTGACACTTGAATTATGATTTACCATATTGGTTACTTGTCAAATAACCAGTGTATGTTAAATTACGAAACAGACAACTAGGTTCATTGGTAACACATTCTACCAAAAATCCTAGCAATAAACTTTACGCTTACAATTTTTTTTATGTGTAGTTTTGCAGTTTGGTTATACATCAGAGCAGCGTCCTTAAAATTAAAATTATGATTTGTATAATTGAGTGCCTGTATTACCATTCAAAGCTCACCAGAGCAACAGTCTATTGGTAAGACTGATGTGGTCATAAAGAGCCACAGAGAGGAAATGTCTTTTTTTTTATTTCCTCTTTTGAACTATTCCCTCTCTGTTTTGGGGCCACATGTAGATATTCATGTGTGCCAGTGATAAAGTACACAACTCAAACGAAGGTGGAAGGTGTAGTCAAGTTATTGCTATTCGATCCAAGATTCCCACAGAAACGTCAGTGATATCTGTTATCTTTATAAGATCATGTAATATTGCATATTACTGAAATGAAAAGTATGTGATGGAAACTGTGGTGTTTTTTTATGTTATCAAAATACAGTTGTCTTCAAGTCACTCTTTTGGTTCTTGACTGTCCTGTCCCTCACCGCACTGCCCGTAGCCTTTATGACCCTCACTGGGCCGCCGCTTCCGGTACTTCCGGTTACCGGCGGCCTTCCCGCCTTCCTGTAGATACCGCGGCGCCACGCGGCGCTTTGCCTTGGCTTTGCGTTTGCGCTTCGCGGCGTCGGGAGCAAGGGCGCCAGCGTAGTGATTTGGAAGGTCGTTTCGACGCCCCGTCTCTCTCGCACCCCCACGGCACTCCCCATGGCGCGAGCGCGACAGAGACAGCGATGACGATACCACCCTTCGGAAGCACTCGCCCGGTACTGAAGGTCCTCCAGTAGTGCCATATGCATATCAGCAAGCATCCGGCATGGCGGCCGCCGCAGCGCGTCGCAGACACAGGTCTCCACCACATCTAGAGCACCTTGTGAGTGCAGCTTGTTAGTCAGAGTCCAGGTGGGCCGACTTCGAGTCACGCAGGGAAGCCCGACCGACAACACGACTACTGCACCACCAAGGCACGGTTTTATTCATTGGGTTTTGGTATCTCAACTTCACATGACAAAATATTTGATTATAGTCTTGTATTAAATGCAGATGTCTCAGCTCAAGCTCTTTGTGGTCCTCCTGTGTGCCGCGAATGCGCTTACCATACCACCCGAGAAGAAAGCTGCCAGAGCAGAGGGACACACTGAGGGAGGCGATCCTAGAGGACTTACTCTCTCTTCTCAACTGAACCATGAGGTAAGATGTCTAACATTAAATTGAAAAAAAAAAATGGATTTTTGGTGTTGAGCAAGGTTTTTAATTACAGGGGAAATCTTCTTCAAAATTCTTTGGAGGAATCCTGCCATCCTTTCACTCTCCAAATCAAGGATTCTTTCCGAGTCCCATGGGAGGATACAATGTGGGGGGCTTCCCTTCTTACCCATATCCTCCTTCCCCATATGGCTACATGAATGGCCCATTCAACTATGGAGGATTTTACCCCCAGAATCCCGGTTACTTTGGACAAAATTTTGGAGGATATGCAGCCACTCAGCAGCAGCAGCAACAACAACAATCTTCTCAAATTGGAGCAGGTGGATCAGGAATGGGAGGATTTCAATCGCCATTTGGGGGTTTCAGGAATCAATAATAGAGAACACTGAACCAGGTTTATTTTTAAATTCATTTAGAGATTGTTTGAAGTTTGTTACAAAGATTGCAATACTGTACTTGATCATTCCACCAGTGTAAAATCATATGGTTGGAATGCTTCCCTGAATCGTTTTACAAGTGCAACTTCTTCTACTTTGTCTTGCTTTACATCCTTCCAATCAGCCATGTGTTCCCTATCCAGAATGGGTCCACTAGCCAAAACTTCCCTGAAATCAACAGTAAAGTTTGTATTGGTCAAGCATACATAAATTCAAACAACATTGCAATTAATAATAATATGAACCAACCTGCCAAAATTCAGAGAAAAGCTTTTTTTAATTCTGTGGAAAAGTTTATCTCCGTTTGGAAGTTGGACATAAAAATATGGAGCTCTAGGGCCGGCCACTTGATCTAGCTTTGCATGCTCTGGAAGTTCATCCAGCTCAAATCCTTCAGCTTCAGCAGACTCCTATTTTAAAAAATACACATAGATAAAACAGTATTTGATTTGATTAAGTACCATACATTTATCTTTTAGAGTAATATATACTCACTTGGAATATCTCACGTAGCTCTTTTGTTGCGTTTTCTGGAATAGGTATGGCTTGTATTTGCATATGTGAAGTTTTGTAGTTTCGTTCGTAAAACACTACTGCTTTTTTCTGCTTGGAACACGCTTTCTTGATAGCCGATTTGAACCTTTGGAAAACAAAAATTGTTAGTAAAAAATGTATAGAGTTGTTGACAGAAATTTGCAGAGCTTAGCTTACTTTTCAATTTCATCAAGCACATCCTGTGGGGCTTCTGCAGTAGATTGATGGTGCTCTACCGGCAGAATCAATACATGGTCCTCGACAAGGCCACCTTTCGCCATAGCCAAGTATGCCTATAAAAAATAAAATATTACATTATAAGATAACTGGTAACTAGAAACAAAGGTGATGTGGAAACCAGGATGTAAACATACATGAGTGCCCACACTAATGACAAGATGCTTTTCAACTTCCGGGCTGGCAAGACAAAACCAGCACTTGGCTGTAAAATTCAAAGATTTTGAGTTAGAGGCAGGACAAAGTGTTAATGTTACATGTCAAAATACATTTTATTTTAGACCAACCTTGGTCAAAAACTGGTCTTTCTCGTTTTTTCCTGTCTTGACCACCGTCATCAAATCGCCCACGTTTTCCTCCTCTCCTATCGTTAGGAGCATTCATATCATAGAAGAACTGATTTGCTTTCTCCTGCAAGAAAACAATTTAAATCATTGAGAGGGGTTCAAAAATGTTGAAATAAAATTTGCAGTACAGAGCATTACCTGACTTCCCGTAGGATTTGAGAAATATGCTAGACCAGGGAAGGGACTCTTTGTTTCATCTGTCGTTCCCTGAAGAAGTTCAGAAGCACGCATGTGTTCCATCGGAACAATATTCAGTGCATATAACCACTTCTGTTTTGAAGGATTGCCAACAGATGCAAGTGCCATAAATCTAGTATTGTGCTGAGAAGTATCTCCTGGAGCTGCTTCATTCCTGTTAAAAGGTTAAAAATAAATCAAGGATGAGTGAAAAATCAAACCAATATGCAATTTAGCTTGTATAAGCAAAGATGTGTGACCTACTTGTATGGAGGGCGGTCATAATAAACATCATGCATCCCAGAAAAAATATATCTAGGCTTGATATGAGCTGCCAGCCAAGATAACAGTGGAGATCCTGATGGCAGATTGCTCTCCTGTGACAGAGCATGTCAGGAACACATTAAAACTTGTTTCTAGAAAAGAAACTTAAAACAAATCAAATAGAGCTTTGGTCAAACAAGTACTTACAGCTTTCTGGTGATTTTGAGAAATACCATTCGGCCAACATGATGTTACAAGAATATCAACACCTTTAAAATTAGATTGACCTTTGTAACAAACATCTCTCACGCACATGACATCGTTCTCGGAGAAAGAAGTGTCAGATGTTCCTTCCTTCTGACCACTGACGTATGCTATTCTCAGTCCGTCACTTGTGGTGAATACACCACGTTTGCCTAAATAACTAATATTGGGACAAAGTTCACAGCCATTGATATCAGAATACTTGGATGTGTGTTCATCAGAATTTGGTCCTAAAACATAGGTTGTCACAGGAACTGGAATACTGCCATTTTTAATCGCATTCCATTCACTGTCAGAAGGTCCGAAGAAATCACCAACACATAGGAGGTAATCAAAGGGCCCATTCTTGTCATTCACAGTAGAAACACGTTTCATTAACGCCTTGAAATTTCCTCGAACATCACCAGCAACTAAACTGAAAATTAGAGAGGAGACAGAAAAACTGTGAGGACAAACTCAAGGCACAAAACCACTACAATCATTACAAAGGTATCGTGGCGATCAAACCGTACAGTTTCAACTTGTCTCCCATGACTGATCAGGAGGGCTCGGTTTCCTTTAAGTACCGAAATCTACGAGCTGCGAGTGAAAAGTTAAAAATACAACGACAAAGATTCGTAAACAGGTACCGCGACACAACGCTACAGACGCGTCGGCTGCTAGAGTTGCGCAGGCTGTGCAGGTTCGGTCCTGAAAAGTCTTTTCACTATTGCAGTAAAATTTTCAAAAAAAATCATTTTTCATATTTTATATTTAAATGTACCAAAATAAAAATTGATTCTACTTGGTTCTCTTTTTGTATGTTCACAGAAGATCGGAGAATCACATGACAACTTCGGAGATAAATTTCTTGTTCTTGTGTTGGCTAAACTATAAAAACAATAGGCCATAACCACACATTCGCATGTGTTTGGTGCTAGAATTAGTTTTAAATTTTTATCAATGTAATGTTATTTAATTTGTCCCTAGAACAATGCCTGGAACCATATCATTTCGAAATGTGTTCATCAGCACTGATGTCATCTGTGTGAAATTTTTTGGTCCTTATGTCTTTGCTGGTAGGGACAGGAATCTTGGAATCTTATGGAAAAGAATTATTATTAAATGAATTTTCTGTAAACACATGATCTTGTTTTCCTTTTAAAGGTGTTGGAGGAATTCTGAAAATATTTGAATTACTCACCAAAACATGTGTCAAAGAAGTGGAAGTATTTAAGGGCCACAAAATATATGGAATCGAGCCCGGTGAAAAAAATCTTATAATCATATTTGGAAGTAAAAGTGTTCGTGTTTTCAAATTTTCTCATGCACAGACAGAGTATGTTGGCATATATAGTCTCCCCGTATAAAATCTTATCTGCGTATTCCTTTTATATTTTGTGAACGAATTTCTATTTCTTTCAGGATTCAGATGTCATGTGTTGCATCAATATCTTTGGAAGACTGGGTCTTAACTGCACATTGGCTTTCTGATGACACTCAAATATCGCTTGTCACTGCCCATAATGTCATTTGGCTTTGGTCATGGAGCGAAAATGACAAAACTGAATTAATGCGGGCAGGTTGTTCTGAGAAATGCATTTTGTATCCTTCCCACTTGATTATCATACCACATTTGATGTTATTGATGTAAAGAGGCTCCTTGACTCTCTCTGTACAGATATTCTGCTACAGTTTGCGGCAAAGATTGGGAAAGTTGTGTTGTCTTTGCGGGTACTGTTTTCAGAGAAGTTGTTATATGGCTGCCCAGTGGAAGTGGCATGTGCGACCAGCCTGTTTTACACAGGCTTGTTGGTCATAATGTGAGTGACAACTACTATTGTAACATTTACAGTTCGTTACAATTTTAAAAGTAATGTCAGTTACCAGTGTTTGTTGTTGGCAAATTTCAGGGTGTAATATTTTCTCTTACCTGGGACTGGCAAACATCTTCCCTGTGTTCCACATCTGATGATAGGAGTATTCGCCTCTGGGAATTTTCGTTTCCTCATAAGTCTGATTGGCAATCATCCACTGTTACTTGCTCAAATGTGTTTTATGGCCACTCTGCAAGAGTTTGGCGAAGCATTATGTTTGAGAATTTCATTGTCAGTGTAGGAGAGGTAAACTAACTTCAATTGTCTTATTGTTAGCTTCAGCTTCTCTTTCACTGTAGAATTTTTCCTAAGCACATTCTGGTTCTTTGAATTAGGATAATCAAATTTGTGTGTGGAGTAGAAATGGAAACCTTCTTCAAAGCATAAATAGATCAACCAGTGGTTGTCAGTGGAGCGTTGATTGCAGTGCCAAGCACCAGCTCATGGTAAGAAAATAAAGAGGAGAAAATTGAAACTGTTAAAATCAAGAAGAGAACTCTTTTAATAAGTCTTGGTAGGTCACAGGTGCTGGAGATGGATCAATACAACTCCTTCCTCCTCCTTCACCAAGGGCAGTGCCGACAGCCATCACTGGCCCATTCCCTGAAGATCTCCTTCGACTGATTGACAGTCCCTGTGTGCGCAAATTAGCTTTTTTGTCATCTGGAGTTATTGTGGCTGCCACTGAGGACGGGACAATCCTGAGAGGTGATTCTATATCAACTCCTTGGGAAATAGTCTGCAAGGATGTCAGGTTTTCAAATTATTGTGTACTATCAGTGGCACCCAGCCGTACAAAATTTTCCATTGCTTCACTTAGAGGGGAGGTAATTTTATATCAATGTAAGTATTTTTCTGTAGTTTCTTAAAAGCATTAACATCTGTCTGTTGTTGTTGACTGGACCTAAATGTCAATTGTTCAGGCACTGCAAAGGATGGGAAGGAATGGACCCTTGAGCAGCAGTTAGAAGACGGCAAAATTTGGTCTCTCTTGTGGCTCTCTGACCAGGAGATATTGGTGTGCGGTGATGAAGGTCGTCTCAGAGTTTGGCAGATCTCCCCAGAGCAAGGTTCTGTTATTTACTAAGGAAAACAAAATTGTGGCTTCAGACTTGGTTTTTATTATACTTGCAGTTGTCTCATTAGATTTGGTTTTCCAGGGGTGAATATGAAATGCATTGGTCAATTTACTCTTCCTCGATCTCGAGAGCGATGGCCAACATGTGGCAGACTTTTGACAAAGAACTCTCAAAATTTTCTTTTGTGTGGAGATCGTTGTGGGTCATTGCATTTATTCAGTCTGTCAGGATTCTCACAAGCAGAGGTGCAGTTTTCAGCTCCTGACCATTCACTTCCTAAGCTTCATGGAAAGCTTGGTGTAACTAGTGTAATGAAACACCATGGGAAAATATTTTCTACGGGCCGTGATGGCAGTGTTAAAATGCTTGCCGTTAACTCAGACCCACCTCAGTTGTTGCTGCTATCCACTGATAAAATGGTTATGGATTGGGTCTGCTCTGTCATAACCCTGCCTTCAGATAATAAAAATTTCCTTATTGTTGGGTTCAAAGAGGTAAAGCGCGCCAAAATGCTTTCATTGTAATTTTTTTTGTCCAGGAAATGATTAAGATATTTATATTTTTCTATTTCTTTGTTCACAGATGAATATGATTGTTTGGAGCACTAGTGAACGGAGGACAATTCTCCAGATAGATTGTGGGGGAGGCCACCGTTCTTGGGATTGTATGGTATCAAGCAAAGAGAATCTAGAATTGACTTATGTTAGAGAAAAACAAATTTACTATTCGTCAAGGGCCTTAGAGACATTGATGAAGCCAACATTACAAGTACAATTTTAGTTCTTTGCCTTAATTTTGTCAAAGTAAAATAAAATCTAAAAATATGCTATAATAGTTAACACAATCTTCTTTCAACTTTCAGTGTGGAATAAGCCCTCGTGAATTAAATAGTGTTTCAATCCTTCCACTTGTGCCTTCTGGACTGCTTTTTGGTGGTGAAGATGGTACCCTTTATGTGTGCAAATTCAGTGGGTAAGTTTCTTCTTTCTTATTTTGTTTATGGTACCAAAAAGTCTCTTACATATAATGTCAACTTTTTATTTTTGTGGTGATCATTTCAGGGATATTTCTACTCTAGTGAGTAGAGCAACTCTAACTAGTCACATTTCTAGTGTTCGCTGTATTTGTGTGCAAGATAATTTCTTTTTTTCTGCTGGTGGTCGGGCCCAACTCAAAGCTTGGCAAATCGAACATGGTTTGTAAATAAACATGGTATACAGTATTGTAAATTAACTGTGAATTAAATTTTGCTACCTTTATACTTGCCTTTTCTTCCCTTTAATACAGGTTCAGATGAAGAAATTTCATGTGTAGAATTAGCTTCACATATGCTCAAAGGTGAACGCCATCCTCGCTCTCCTCCTTCCATTGATCCAGAAATGCGATACATGAGCCTGTGTTGTATTCCTAGCACTGAAAGCAATTCTGTTGTGCAGCTGATATCTGGTTGTTCTGATGGAGCCATGAGGTAATGTTGGTGTTCTTTCAGTCCTTACATGGCTTATTATATTCTGTGTTAATGAGTTTTTGGATTTTGTTTTCCAGGTGGCTTACGTTTGATTCTTTTAACAAAACATTCCAAGTTGTTAGTGAGTCAATGTTTCATACTAAATGTGTCCTGAAATTACTAACTGTCCCTTTAAATCAAGGAAAAGTGGCACTAATTTCTAGTGCCACTGATGGGATGATTGCTCTCTGGGACATCCTTCCAGAAATGTTCACATCAAATTCTGGAAGGGAACCGATTTGGAGCAGTCGCTGTCACCAGTCAGGTGTCAATAGCCTTCATGCCCAGGTCCTTCCTACAAGTAAAGCGTCAACCATACTTGTAGCTAGCGGTGGGGATGACAACTCTGTGGTCTTGACTGCTTTAACTCTGGGAGATAAAGAAGTGTCTATGATTGCTCAGTGGTCTAACAGCTCTGCTCATGCTGCTCAAGTGACAGGCAAGTTCATTTTACAGAGCTCCAATAAAATAATTTTGTCTAAAAGTACAACATATTAGGTTTTAATCAATCCTATGCAGGTGTCTGGCTGGTCGGAGCATGGCTTCTAAGCACTTCTATCGATCAAAGACTGACTGTGTGGCGGTGGAAATTGGAATTGGAGGGATCTACTCACCTTACTTGTGACTTTGTTAGTCAGACCATATGTTCTGTACCTGATGTTCAAGACATGCAGATTTGGAGAGATAAGTACGTTAGACCTTAGTCTTTTATTTTGAGAGTGCTCACATCAAATGGATCATGTTTGTAATTAATTTTGATTTTGATTATTTTTTCAGAGATTTTATCAGTGTCTGTGTTGTGGGGAAAGGAGTACAAATTGTCCAGATACCATTAAAACCTGAACTGTGAATACATACTGTTATAAAATATTTTATTACGGAATAAAAATTTGTTGCATTTTAATATGTTGCAATCATTTTTCATACACAGGACAGGAACTCCCTGAGACGAGTATCGAGGGCCCTGCCGCCCTGCAGTCTGGTCACCGTAGCATCACACGTTCCCAAGGGTACGCGAAGGCCGAAGGTACGCGCCTCAAGCCGGGGCGGGGAGGGGGCCGGCGGGGTCCTGACCGCTATCCTGGCCACCCTAGAGTGCGACGATCTCCGTGGTACCTGTGGTACCCAAGGGTCCGGCTGGCTTTCTGGAAGAGCAGGCCCGGAGTGGGGGAGGCAGGCGAAGCCGCGCTCCGCTCCGCCGCGCCGCCGCTGGAGACGCTGAGGGGGGCCAGGGGCAGGCCAGGGGCGTCGCCGTCCCGACGGGAGGGGGGAAGGCCGGCGGCCGACGCGCAACGAAACGTCAGCCGGCCCGGGCCGGCTCAGTCCCCGACAGGTGCTCGGCGTCGCTCGTCCTGCCGTTCCCCGTCCGTGGCGTCGGTTCGATCCTGCCCGACGTCGTCGTCGTCCTGGTGCTGCCCGTGTGAGCCCGCCGGCCGGCTGGGCCGCCTTTGTGCCTGTGGTACTGTTTTCCCGGCGCGTTGGGAACCGAGGCGCCGCGAGGAGGCCGCGACCCGCCGCGCTCCGCGTGTAGTGTAGTTCGATTCCCCGGCGCCCCCAAGGCTCCGAGGCTCGGACGCGGAGGCTTGGCCGGCGCGCCGCCGTAATAAAGGGCGCGATGGCGGTCGGGGCAATCAAGGCATTGTGATCGTGGCGCCGCGAGTCGCTGCGTCGCTGCACTGCACACAAAGGAGAAGAGTGCGTGTGACACGACGCGGCCCCGTGTGAGTGTGTGTGCGTGTGTCCGTGTGTGGTGGTGATAGTGCACTGAGTGGATACTGGAGCACCGCGCCGGCCGACCCTGCACTTGCGCTGCTCCGCGCCGCCACTGGTGACCCGACTGGCATAGGTGAGTCGTCTTGTGCATCTCCGAGTGCTAGGGGACAGCGAGGCAACCGGTGTATTCGAACCCAGGGCCAGACTGGTGCGGGCCATCTCGACTCAGATACAGTGGATTCAAGCTCCTGCCGGAGTCAAAGTCAAGGACATGCAATGCTTCAACTGCATGGCTGAGGAACTCGTCCTGGCTCCAGGGAGAGCTGCGGACGCTGGAGCGCGCAGGTCGGGCGACGGACAAGAAGAAGCCGGGTCCGGTGCCGACGAGCGGCCCAGTCGCTTCACTCTCAAGTCACTAGTCTGAAGCATCGTTTCGTCACTCTGTCTCTGTCGCGCACCCAGGGCACACCTCACGAGTGCGACAGAGACAGAGCGATCGGCTGGCTCATTTCCGATTCGCTGGCTGCGTCCTGCATTTCCTTCCCTCCCCGCTTCCTGGCGACACGCGAAATAAGTCTTCCCGCCGGCTGACAAGTTGTCCGGCAGCCCGCAGCATGCAGGGCAGCACGCTCCGCTCAATCACGCGGCGAGTCCGGGCACTTCTTGCCCCTCGCAGCTTTGCTTTTTGCAGCGGCGCGGCGCGGGCTGGGGGCGTGGGCGTCGCGGCGAGGCGTACGTGTTGCGTGCACGGCAGGCTGTAAAACGACACGGCAGCCGGTGAGGCAGCTGCCGACTGGTGCCGAGAGTCGTTCGCTCCGTCTCCTGAACGAGACACCCTGCAAGTACGAGGGAGACAGAGCGACGAAAACGACTCTCGGATTCGGTCCGCCGGAGCCAGTTTAGCGCGCGCGCGAAGTGCGGACGAGGACGGCGGCGGTGCGTCGGCAGCGCGGTGGAGCGTGGCGGCATGGCGTGGCCCGGCTGCATGGCTCCCTCGACCTAATCATCCAACTAATTCATTCGCGGCGACAATGCTCGTGACAATGGGTCGCGGCGCCGCAGCGGCCTGCCGCCGAGGTGCCTCCATTTCCAGGGAGCCGCCGCCACGCAGTGGTACTAAAGTGCCCTGGGAAAGTCAAAATAAGAAGTGGGGGCAGGGCTGCACTTGGAGCTCTGTGTGTGTGTGTGTGTGTGTGTGTGTGTGTGTGTGAAGGAAGGAACAGTGCAGCTCGGTACGGTTCGTCCGAGTCACGGTGTGGGTGCCCCGCCCCGCCAGCCCCGCCAGCCCCGCCGCATCACGACGCGATGGACTGGCGGAGTGACTGCGAGGTGAGCCCTGCCCTGCCCTGCCCCGCCGCCCTGCCCATTGAAGCGTTGTGGCGTGGGCGGACTTTCTCCCGCCGCGGCCAGGCTACGCCAGGCCCGTCATGCCGCCATCGCCATCCTGCAGCTCCGCGTGGCTCCGGGCGCTGTGTGGACTTTACAGTGAGGCGTACGACAATCCAGACACGCCCCCTCCCCCGCCCCCTCCCTCGGCACGCTTCGTTTATCGAATTCGGAGGCCGCTGGCCGTCCCGTCCGCCGACTGCGACTGCGACTGCGGGCGGCGGCGGCGGCGGACTGGTCGGGGTAAAGGTTAAGGACCCCACCACCCCCACCGCCAGGCCATGGCCGGGCCGCCAGCGCCTCGCAGGCCCGTGTGTCGCTGCCGGCCTGCCGGTGCACCGGCACAGCGACGACGGCATCCTCCTCCTCCTCCAGCACCTCCACTGCCACCGCCGCAGCGGAGCGTTGCGTGAAATTAGTAATTTGCATGTGCAGCGATGGGCGTCTCCGAGGGGCTACTCCAGCCGGCCGAGCCCTGCTGGGACACTCGCGTGCACACACACACACTCACACACACTCACACGAGCACACAGAGTTGCTCTTGATCAGGTGAGACATGATCGGAACGGGTTGCGCGCGAGCGTGCTGTGCGAGCCGGTTGGAGCCGGGCTGGGACGCTGGGACCTTGGAAGGACGCGGGGTGGGGCGGGGCGGGGCGGGGCGCTGAACACGCCGGCGACGTCGTCGGTAGCATTTGCGCCGTCACGCGGGAAAGCGGCGGGAAGGTTTAAATCATCGGCGACACGGCGGTGCGCGGTGCGAGCGCAGGGACTCATCGACTCGTCTCGCGTCGCCGGCGTGCTGATGCCGGCCCTGCTGCCGGTGGGCTGCTGTGATTGGCTGCTCCGCGCCGCGGTGATGAGACGACCAATCATGACCGAGGCGCGGCGTAGCGGTGTGCCGCCGATCGCCTGCCGGCAGTGACCATCGTCGCGGAGGTTCGACGTGTTGATGGACCCTCCGGGCCTCTCTGGGCGCCGCGCGCGCCGCGTGAGGGATGGGGCTATCACTGCGCTGACCTTTACCTTTCCAGCCCCGTGCCGGTATGCGCGGCCGCTTTGACAGTCGCCCCGCCCCGCCCCGCCACGCCACGCCCCGCCTCCGCGCGGCTCGCTCGCTCCAGAGTCTCGCCCCGAGCGCCGTGTTCCTTTGTTTTGTTTGGGGAACAATTAGGAAAATGTTCTCTGGGAGAGGCGGAGGCCGGGCAGAGGAAGGGAGGGGAGGGGGCGCCCGCGGCTGGGCATGCTGGGATGCACCGCCGGGCCGCCAGCGTACGGGCAGCGTGGAGGCAGCGGACCGCCGGGTTGATGCACTGGCTGCACTCGGCGCGTTGCACCTTGCACCCACCACCGGCGAGTGAGTGAGTGAGCACTCGGATCGATTTCTGAGGATTCTCGCGCTTAGTCAATCTGTCTCTCTCGGACTGGACTAACGCGCCCCCGGGAGCAGTTCCAATTCCCGCTTTCTCGATGGCTATCACACACACACTCACGCAGAGTTACTATCAAAAACTCGAGCCGGCGGCGGGCCTTTTGACAGCAGGCGATCATTCATTATTTCGTGACCGCTTTACTGTCTCTGTCTCTCTTGTTTCCTGGGAGTCACACTGCGCGGCAGGTGTCTGGCTCGGTGGGGGAGGGGAGGGGGAAGCGTCGAGCAAGGGGTGCGGGGGCGAGGGCGGTGTCAGGGGGTGTCTGGCGCGGTCCGCCGAGCGCGGCCGTGGTGGAGGCGCGGCACGCGGCACCCCCTCCCCCCCCCTCGTCCAATTCAGCTGATTGACGCACTCCCCTCTCGAGCAGCCCGCCACAGTGGAGTGGTCCTTCTTGGCGCGAGCGCGCGGCCGGCGGGGAGACCGACAGCAAAACAAGCAGCGGACGAACAAAACAGTCGAAACAAATCAATAGACACGACAAACTAGCTCGACACTCACCTGGATGACTCGGCGGCCTGGAAGTCTGGCTGGAGGTGAGCGGCCCGCGCATCGTCAGGCATCGCCAGTCGCAGTGTGAAAAGGGGATTTCCCTTTGTAAACTGTTCACGGCCTTCGTCCTTTTCGTATGGCGGAAGCGATGCTTCGTGGACTTTTTTTACAGTGGAAGGAGCCGCGGCAAAGCGGCGCACGCACGTCGAGCCGCGGAGCCGCGGGGAGCGGAAAATAATGAAATGAAGCCCCGAAAGACTTGTCTCATTAATTCCCGGAATTGGGAAACTTTAGCAGTGGCGGTGACCTGGCCAGTGAGCGTCGTGCGTGCGAGTGCGACGCACTGCCCTGCCGGGCCCTCCACTACACTGCACTGCCGGTGGCCACTCCCCCTTTACTCCGAGTCAGCCGTCTGATTCCGAACTCTGCTTCGTCGCTCTGTCTCTCTCGCACCCCTACGGACCGCCCCATGAGTGCGAGAGAGACAGAGCGACGAAAGCAGTGTTCGGAATCAGACGGCTGGGACCAGGCAGGCAGAGCCAGGCAGAGCGACCAGGGAACTGGGTCGGCCAGTGGGCCGTCGCGGCGCTATGATTGATGTCGCGACTCCGGGCTTATTTGTTACTTCACCGGAAATTGACGAGGGGGAATTAATTGGAGCCTCGATCGGGTGGCTTTGCGGCCGGTCCCGGCCGGAACAACAAATTTTTAAGAAATTGAAATAGCGGGTTTCTTCTTTTTTTACGAGCTTTGTGAGGTTTGCTGCGTTTTCCATCGCAGCGTAAACTGACTTAGGTAAACTTGTTGACTGTTTAATGATTGCGCTGCTGTTGTCTCCAGGGACTATAGCACTGTTCTCCGTTTAAGTAAAACAGAGGGCAGAA